GTCCTGGTTCAGCAAAAAGTCCATTAGGAGTTACCAGAAATATCAAACAAATAGTTTATCCCTGATCAACTAGTCCAACTTTATCATCCTTCTTTTTGCTCTTCACAAAAATCATTTAAAATTTAAATCATTGAAATCATTGCAATGGCATTGCAGGATTTAATCTTTCATCAATCTCTGGCATTCAAGAGGAGTCTTCAAAGCTTTCACCAGCCTACTTTGTAAATCCCATAAAGAGGCATCATCCAGGTATCTTACTGGGATTTATGTAGGGTATCATTCCTACATAAATCTCAATGTTTACTCAACATTACATATTTTCTGCAATGGCAGCAATATGGGGGAGCTATAAAATAACAAGGTCTGGAATCATAAACAATTACAGTACCAACAAATCTATTTTTAATATGCTTAAATATATTTTCTGGTTGGGTGTAATAAAACTTTGTTTGTTTGTTTGTTTGTTTGTTTAGCGTATTGCATCAGGTGGAGATGGGGATAAGATGAAATTTTTTGGACAGTCCATACATGGTGAAATGGACTTAAATGGAGATGGACTTACAGATGTCACTATTGGAGGCCTAGGAGGAGCAGCCCTCTTCTGGTAGGTATATTAAAATTTAAGTTTAAAATTCAGTCTTGTTATCAGTAATATATCAGTTCTATTCACTAACTCTGAATTCACTCTCAATGTGTGCATGTAACAGAAGGGATAACATTATTCATAAGGGAGGGTTGGAGAAACTGGCATGGTTGAAGAAATTGGCATGATTTTCAGAAGTATCTGAGAACCCAGATTGTGTTCATGGGCATGAAATGTTGAGTGATTGAATTGAGGAAGACCCTAGAAATCTGGGATGCAGAATCTAGGAAGAGGGCATGGCAGACTGGCCTCTTGAGCAAACATATATCACACTGTAGACACAGAAGTGAACTTTTTTTTTTTAGAAACATCGGAATATAATGTTAAGTAGAGAGAGGAAATCAGGTTCACAGTAACATTAGGACTGTCTAATATTACTTAAATGTTTCAGGCTTCACACAAGCATAGCACCTCTCTTCTATTCATGAAAGTGTTAGAAAATTATCGTGGGCAATTTCCAGTTTAGTTTACCCTCAGCACACTCCCAGTCAATCCTTATACCCAGATCAGAGTAAGCCACCTGCCACTAAGTTCATCTGGCAAAAATATAGCTTGATGTTTATTTACTAAACACCAGCAAAGATTTTAAAAAAAAAGTCCATTGGCAAAATGGGATAAAAAGAAGGCAAAAGCAAAGAGAAATATAAACAACAGGGAAGAATTTACACTATCCTTCTCTCTCTCGCTTTCTCTCAAAAGACACAGAATTTTCCAGAGCCACTGGAAACAGGGTTATTAGTATGGACAGTCCCTAAAGTGGCCTTTTGCCCTTTTATGTACATAATCGCAGTAAAATAGAGCTGGAAAGTAAGACACAAGGTGATCCATCCTCCATTGTGCACCATTAAGGAAACAATTGAGTAGATGGGGATGATGTATCCAACATAAAGTAGCCCGCTTTTTTCAGCCTTCCATCTAAAATCAAGATGATGATGCTTTAAGGAAACTACTTATTAAAGTTAATGCAACTCTTAAAAGTAGTAGCATCTTTTTTTCCGGGCTCATATAGAAGTTGTGGTACTTTAATGAATGACAGAGAGACACTGAACTGTCACCTTTTCAGAATTATTTTCAAAGTATGATATTCCCTAACATTGTATATATACTAGCCAAAATATATTTCACAGTACAATTTATTTATTAATTAAATTTATATGCCACCCACTTCCCCCAGAGGGTGACTCTGGCTGGCACTGTTGCTTGTTTATCCTATTATGGCTTCATCCCAGTTATGTGTACATAGAATTTACACGGTTGTGTATCCAAGAGTTTTTACATGCCCTTCAGAATGCCTTCTTTTTCTAGAACAGCAGATTTTCATGCCATACTGCAAATTGCTTTTAGCATACCCTTCTGTTTCAACATTTGCTATGTGGAATACATGGACTATTCCCTGAAAATATTCCGAGTCTAGCAGCTCAGTTAGGGGAACTAAGTATATACATTTTTCTTTTTTAATCAATCTACCATGTTACAAAATGCTAAACATTCTGTAATATTCCTTAATCTTTTTCATAAATGGTTTTAGGTCTCGAGATGTTGCCCAAGTAAATGCTTCCATGAAATTCATGCCCAACAAAATTGATATTCAGAAGCTAAGCAGTGACATGCAAAAGGTGTATATAAATTCCACAATTTGTTTTGAAGTCAGATTAAAATCAAAGGAGGTTACAGTTAATGAAACAGGTAAGTGGACATCCAGATTTCTGAACTCTGCATGTATGTTATCTGCCAGGGACTTCTGCTGGGGGGAGGGGGGTGTCAGAAAATCAAGATGGTGACCACAAAGTTCCATGCCTTTTCTTTTTATGTGTGACGTGCATATGTATGTCAAAAAGGGGACAGAGCTTCAATCATATAGCAGCTATCTTGTTTTTTTGACTCCTCTCCTGAAGATGCCCCTGTATTTATTGTTCAAACAACTCCAGCAATTAAACACTTAATTATGAACAGTTTCTTGGGAGTCTGCAGAAAGATTTAAACACTAGGCCATCATTTTGGGCATACCTTTGTTACATGAAAATAAAATAGAAGTGATGTTTTTAAATGGTTTGATAATACTGTATTTTATACTAGCCTGACACTGAAGCAGTGATTGAGAGATCACATTCCTTAGTACTTTAATAATGGTAAAAAATGAATAGATTACCAGTTCAAATGTCCTAAAGAAATAGAAGATTCATTAATGATTCAGCTTTCCTCTTTCCAACTCACTAGGCCTTAACTACTGCATTCAGGATCCACAGGATAATTGTAGCTATTCATTTAGACAATTATACAGTATGTAGAACTCTAGAAAGAACCCTAATGATGACCTCCATGGGGTTTCTTCTAGCACTGTGAGCGAAATAGAGGCTAGGCTCTATTTAAGGGACCATACATAATTGTTTCAGTGTATGTGAAAAACTCTCCTACTATTTCACAATTAGATGCACATTCTGTCTATGAATTGGAAGAATAAATATTTTTGTGCAAATGATAGGATAAGAAATACATATCCTTTGTTAAACTTTTGGCCCATTGTCTTTAGTGACTGAACTTGTCTGTCTCAGCAGGTAGCAGGCCTGACTGATCTGACCTGGGTTTGGAAGCTAAGCAGCATTAGCTCTGGTTAGGATTTAGATGGGGGACCTTCAGGAAATTAAACTGAAAGGATTTAAACATATCCTGGAGCAGGCAATGGGAAGCCACTTCCATGCAGTTACATGAGTAATTAATATAAAGGTCTGCAATCCCAAAGTCCAACTTACAGGATTCCAACAATACGACATGCCAGTTCTAAGCTACACATATTTGCTACCTTCACTTTGTATTAATACAGTCTTTAAAGTGATAAAACAAATGAAGGGAAATAGATGAACAGCCTTCATATAGGACTACTCTGGAAAAGCTTTACATATGCAATTAATTGCTCCTATTTTCTTTCCTAGATATACAGTACTGGCTTACGCTTGATTCACAAAGAAAGGTGTCTCGAAGCCTTTTTGCAGAAACAAATGAACGGAAGATACAAAAAAATATCACAGTTAGAGGTTCAGAATGTATTAAGCACAACTTCTACATGTTGGCAAGTAAATCATATAAAGTGGCTATCTCCCTTGTCCATTGCTATTACTAATTGCCCTTATCCCATTATTAAACAATTTTAAATAGCTAGTTTCTATTGTATTAGTTTGCTACAGAAAGTTAATGTTGATATCAGTGGGGACAATAACCTTCTAATTCACTGTGTTCTCCCTTTGTTACTATTAACTTCAAAATGGCACAGTAAACTGTTGTATGTGCACTTCTATTATCACAGACTGAATAGCCGCTGCTGTTCAGCATGATTAGCAGCATACCGATATTTGCATGGAGGAAATACCTTAAAAATACATAGTTTGAATATATATTACCTTGGATCACCTGACTCCCTTCCCCATCTGACTTTCTTTCTTTTTTTTTTTTTATTCTCCACATGCATTTATAGAAAATTAAACATGGTAGATGGCTAAAGCTCAGAACTTTGGAAATATGCCACATGTTGAGGAACAAAGATGGAGATGGGGTGGTTGACTGCAACTTGAGGGGCTGGGTTGTGGGGGACAACTTTCTGGCCATGTGACTGGCCATGCCCTCTATCCCAAACAGATTGTCTACTTCCAACGTGCTGACATACCTATAAAGGTAGCAGCATCTAGCTAATCTTGGTTGATCTTTTAAAAAATCAAGCAGCATCTCCCATCCAAGGGAGATCACCAGGAAATAGGTAGCATTTTCAACATCCCAGAAAAAAAAGATCATGAGCACTTCCATATTTTTGCCGAGAAAGCAACACAACTTATATATGTCATAAAGAGTTGAGTTGAGTTTGATTCAAGGGAATCTACCTTTGCCCCAATGCAGAGTCTTTTCAACCATGTCCTACTGCAAATAACTTTCTCATTGAAATTGATGCATTTAAAGAATAGAAGAGTAGCACTGTGTTAATTAAAGGCCATTGCCCACATAGAAAATTAACACATGTGACTTTGTGCATGCATTAATGTCTTTGGTTTCCAAGCTTACCAAATCTTTGTTTATGAGACCCCGCAATATCTTTTTAGTCCCAAATAAAAACTTGGCACAGAAGTATCTTTATTTTCATCAGGCACTAAGTTCCAGACAATTCTTCCTGCTGGCACTGTTGTTGTCATTGTCATCATCAACCTTTTTTAATGCTTGTTAGCTGATGATGAACTTGAATGATAAGGCCTAAAAGCTCAAATTTTTAGTGAACCTTGTAAACTGCAAGAAAAAAAGTAATCTTGTTTGGCTGTTAAGCTCTGAATAGGAAAAAAAATGACACTAGTTGGCTTATTTACTTCCATGCAAAAAGTAGGTCACATACCAGCCAGAGGGCCTTTCCATGATAGAACCCATTCTGTATCCAAATCAGCCTTAACCCATGCCAGGACCACTTTGCTTTTTATCTGGTTTGTTCTCACTGTCCCTGACTTCCCAGTGCTCCCAGCATCGTTGCACGATCTTTCCTTAATTGACCTTCACCCACCATGGATGATGGGGGAGCTCCTCAGATAAGGACCTTACCTTGCAGTAGTTGCCTTTTTTCCATTTGGAGGAGGTAGCAGCAGGCAAATATTCACCAAGGTGCTTTCTAATCATACCTGACTCAGGCCCAAATGGAAAACTTTGTTCTGCACCAATTTTCAGGAACTAGATCTTTAAAGCTTATTGTTGTGTATGCCAACCAAAACTGCATAGCAGCAGCATGCAACTGTCAGGGGCACATCCTTGTGCTCGATAGATAATTTTCTGTGTGTGATAGATTTAATTGTTGTAAAAATATCTTTCTTTTCCTTTCTTTTCTTTTTGTAGCTGTATATTTATACAATTTTAAATTATAGACCAGATGGAGTCCCCTTCCTTCACATGGCAATATGCATATATTTGACAAATAGTGTTCTTATTTGAAGAAAGAATAAATTGCAATGCCTCATTTGCTTTGCATTCTTTCCAGGGCAAGCCTGACTTTCGTGATCCTATAAAGGTTTCTCTGGAGTTTAATTTTTCTGATCCTGAGAGCGGACCGATCCTTGACAGTGAGCTGCCCAACTCAGTGGATGAATATGTAAGTCACTACAATGTGGAAAATGTTAACTTTTGTTTTATATTGTTACGTACTATGGATGAAATTTGATCCTCTGCACGTGAGTTCACTCAGTCCATCTACCCCCACTGAGTTCAGTCCTCTCTTCAAGCCAACTTGTTCTGAAGAAGAGAAGGGCCATAGCAGAAATGCATAGCAGAAAATGCATAGCAGAAATGCAACATTCAAAAATAAGGACAGTTGACTAGAGAGGTCACTTCTAAGTTTTCCCAAAATAAATGAATAAATGGAACTGTCAAGCTGGGTCCTGTCCTTGGTAAAATAAGACAGGCAGCTACTGTAGGCTTGGCTAAGCACGACCATGTGTCCATTCTTTAATTATACATTTTTATTCACTTTCTCCATTCTTTAACACTACCAATAACTTTCAGGGAAAGGAGATGATAAAGATACTGCAGCCACATTCTTCCTCAGCATGTTGTGGATGGGGTTATGGCTATGCATGCATGTGTACATAGCTTGGGATTGTTATCAGATACTTTATGGAAATGTTGGAGCCTACCTCTTCTATAGATCCATATTGGGAATATGATGACACCATTAAAAACTAGGCAACCGACAGGGCTTTCCACAACTCGGGACAAAGGTCAGGGGAAAAACAGAGATGAGGTTGGATGATGTGCAGTCATTCCGTTGGTGATCAAGAATGCCTTGCAGATCCATTTCACAAAAGATTGTGGAAACAAGAAGAAATGTATTACTGATCTACAGCTGACTGCCAATGCAACCATAGGAGGAAACAAGTAAGTCAAATGAAACACACATTATGTCTCTCTCTCTCTCTTTTCTAACCTAACGTTCTTTTTAAAAGATGACTTAATTAAATATAGCACAAAATAGAAATAAAAATAATGGTAGACCATTATCCTGATCAATGCACAAAGAATTTATTGAAACACTAAAAGTAGACTAAAGAAGTAGACTAAAATAGACATTACGGAAATTGCCTGATGGTTGCCAAAAATAGCAGCCCCGTATATCTGTCCCCTTTTTCCCTTATATCACTTAGGACTGGGTTGGTAACCCACAACGTGAACCACATGAGCCCTCTGAGCCTCCAAGAGGAAAAGAGAAAGAGAGAGAGTTGGGATGACACAGATCACGCAGGCTATGCACTCTTGCAACAGTTAGTCCCTTGGAACTCTGGTCTTCCCTACCATGCAGCTCCTGAACTTTCCTGAACACTGGGGGCGGGGGTACCATATTCCTATTCTAGAAGAGGAATGAACATTTTCCAAAGTCGGAAGGGTTGAAAGCTGAACATAAGCACAGCCATATCTAAAATCTCCATATGTTCATGAATATGCATGAAAAATTAAGAGTTCTCCATGGTACGGTTGAGAAAGATAGACCATCCTAGCAGGGACACCACTGTTTTTTGAAATATAAAATTGCTGTAGATAACAAGTATAATCTTACGGATCTGAACATGGGGTCACTGGTGGGGGCATTATTAAAGAATTCTTTCCAGTTATCTGTTATATTAGGGTCTCTGGGGGGAAGATAAAAATTATCTTCTCTCCATCAGTTTGATGAAAATAGTTCTTCTGTGGATGCAATTAACAACTTTGTTAGGGAGGTTATATTCCCTCCCAGTCATTCCATTCATGATTTTCATATTTGGGCTACTAATGGATTGCAGATGTGTGCTCAAATCTGCATCTCTCACAGTGTGGCAAAGCAACTAAAATAAATGCTTGAAAACGTGTATCAGAAATATGTACAAAATGCATTGCCCTATGTTAATATTACTTGCTATCAGCGTTCACATTATAAAAGTGCATAAGGAGAGTACAAGCCAATATTTGTGACAGCTTTTTCTGACAAATTTATTTGGTTTTATCTTGTTTTTATTTTAATTTATTTTAATGGTTGCTTTAATGATTTTCATATATTCTTAATTACTATTATGTATGCCGCCCAGAGTCACTATGTCAGATGAGCGGCTATACAAATGAGATTAAATAAATAAATAAACAAACAGAATTTGTGTTTGGGGGAAAAGTTGAATAGGACGGGAGTTTTTCATACTTAGGTGTTCACTAGTCAGCTGGGTTGTGACAAGGACAGGGCAGGTGTAGCCCTAAGAGCTGCGCAGTCACAGCAAATGTCTGACAGTCACATATGTGATCTGCAAGACGTGGGTTAACTACACATGATCTTGAGAGGTTACATGGGAATCAGCCATTGCACAACAAATATCCCTACTCCATTTATGGTTGAGTGTTTGCAGAAAAAGGGAGATTCATAGTGTGTGATGTCACATCAATTATTTTGCAAAATTAAGCATTACTTGGGAGGAAGTTCAGATATTAGGCTGTTGTTTTTAGCAACGGTCCAAATCTGTGTTAATACTGGATTTTTCTCTGATATTATAACAGCAGCAGTAATGTTGAGCTTGGCCCTTTTCTTTTTTTAACTCTAGAAGGATTAAGGATAAAATGTGTCCCATTTCTAACACTAAATAGGTTTTATATCAATCCATTTTTTTAAGGCTGCAGTTATACCAGACTCTACTTACACAGCTTGTATGACATTTTTCTACATCTTTCATTCATTTATCATTTTCTCTGCTATGATTCTGGCAACTGTCAAAAAATGTCCAGCTAATGTTCTGTTCTGTTTTTCACTTTCTTATGCACTGCTGACTTATATGGTTTAAGAGATAACAAGCCAAGGCTATTTTAAATTTGTTTATGATCTGTTATCTTTATCTTGTTTTGCATTTTTCAGTTTATCTCCATTCATCATCAAACTGAATAATTTGAAATTCTGGGTCCAAATGTTGGTCAAAAATAAAAAAGACAGTGCTTACAATGCAAGAGTCTATGTGCAACATTCCCCCAATATTATTTTTGCTGGAATTGAGGTAGATATTTTTAAATTATCATCTTGTTGGGAGGGGAGAAGAGTAAACTAATTTGCTTAGGATAGCTTTAGAAAAATCAGGATTAGTTCCTGGGTTGCCCAAAATTGATTTTCCTACATTCCAGGCTAATGCTGGCCTTTATTTATTATATATTTATACCACATATTTTCTCAGGAAGCCCAAGGAGGCATACGGGGGACATTCTCTTAATTTTATCCACAGAATAACCATCCTGTGAGAAATATTTATTGTAATACTGTATATACATAATATGACAATATATTGTTCCTTTGCAAACCATCCTGCAGATATCAAACCACCATCATGAGAGGAAAATGCTGATTAAAAAAATAATTGATTGAAGCCACAGTCCTATACTTTCTGACATGCCAGCAGGCCCTGTTCAGTTCAGTGACAACCTAGGTTTGAGTAGACATATGAAGCAGGCTTGTACAACCTGTAGTCACAAAGCCTTGGATTTGAACCCACAGTGCTTCTAAAAGGTTAATGTTACAGAAGGAGAGAATTATAGAATACACTACATAGGAAATTATCCTATTAGCTGTATTTAATACAATTTAGCTTTCTCTCCCACTTTCTCATCACATTCTGCCCACTTTTGGAAAACTAGATTGTGTCCCCCAGTGTATAAGACTGCACTGAATCTCATGGATGATTTTCGTTTCTTTAGTGTAAAATTGCATCAAATGCCTCATACTGATTAAAAGGCAGTCAAGACTTGAATGTTAAATATGTGAATGCACTGTATTTTTCATTTTTGTTTAAGAATAAGAAACACAGAGAATAAATCCATATCAGGGCCATGGCAGATGGGGAGAGAACATTAAACCTTTTCTGAACTCTTGAGTCCTAATTAAAATCATTCCCAGCTGTTACTCTTTCAATAGGGAAGCTCTCATTAGCACTGTTGAAAGTTTCCAGAATAAATAGCAATTTTAGAAATGGTGAGTTTTGGGAGGACTAAGAGCAAGGAGCTGTGGAGGAAGGTGGATTAACGGATGGGGTTTGACCTGGCCCTGCATGACAGGAATTTCAATTCCTGCTCAGGCATGAAACTGCATGGAGAGATCAAATATTCTTAGTCTGTTCTAGTTCACAAAGGGTTGTGAGTAAATGCTCCAGAAAGGATGGGATAAATGTGCAAATGTATTTTGGAGTATGTATTGCAGTATTGATTTTTTTTCTACTATTACTGTTTTTAAGTAGTTCATCTTCTATCATTTTATATACAGAAAATACCAAAAGATAGCTGTGACACTGGGCATAACATCACATGTAAAGTAGGCTACCCCTTCCTGTCTCCTCATGAGGAGGTAAGATGGTATGAGTAAATCTGTGGGGGTGACATGTATATAATGTATGTAAACATAAACAAATACTAATAATGTTTGGAAATGTCTGTCCTCCTACTCCCCCCACCTTTTTTTTTGAGATGCCTAGACCTTGAACCAAAAATAGTGTGTGTGAATTTGTTTGTGTATAGATGTATGCGTACATGTCTCTGTGTGTGAATTAAATGTGTATATTTCAACATTTCTCAAACTGGTATTCTCCAGCTATGTTGGACAGAGGTTACCTGTTGGTGGAATGTTAGTATATCTCATGTTTACAATTCAAGCCTGCAGCAAAAAAAAAAAAAAAAGTATTATAATTAAAGAGGAAATAAATATAGAAGCAGCCAATAGAATGCACATTTAGGGCCTTTGCCCTCCTCTTCCATGCAGTTTGACTAATTAGGAATATTCCTCACTTGAGAATCCAACCTTGTTGTGTACTTACTGTTCTCAGATGTGAAAGAAAAAATTGTTGTATTTTTATTTAATTTCTATAGATGGGATGGGAGGGATGGTGTTTATCCAGATGCTGTTAAGTTATTAGAAGACAAATTCTAGATAAATATCAAGAAAAGTAACAACAGGATAATGACAATTCAATCACAGAAAACCAATTCCTGAGGAAGATGGTGAGTCCCCCATCATTTGACATGTTCACGCACAGCTTAGACATCATCTGTTGGGGGTACTTTAGTTTAGATTTTGCAAAGAACAGAAGGTTGGCCTTGAAACATACTTAATCATGTCACAACATGCTAACCTTGGTTAGGTTTTCTTGTTGCTTAGAGAATATTGTGTGGACCTAGGGCCTAGGTTAATCGGCAACCAGCTAAAGGCGTTGATTCCACAAGAAATTCCATAAGAAATTCCAATTACTAATTTAATCATAAACCGAGGTAAAAGAGGGAAAGCTTTAAAAAAAGAATAACTGACTGAATATCAGAGCACTTAAAAGGATGAGAAGTTTGGGCATTCTCGATACTACTAAAGTACAGCTTCAAATCGCGACATTGGCTATGTTGTCTATGAAATTGCAACAATTTCTCATTCCTGGCTGGTTTAAGTACACTGAAGTTACCAGAAGTCCCTTTCCAACAACACTAAACAGGATTGCACAGAGTTTGTCTTGTGTGAATTCTGAAAATCATAGAAGCAGGCTAGAGCATATATGGGAACATAAACAATAGTTTCCTGAGAGGTCAAAGCACCCACAAGTTGCATTTTGTGGAGAGTATATATTTATATTTTGTTAATCCCCAGATGCAACATGGATCTGGTTGCAGAAGTCAGGGAAGCATGTCTTAATGGCTTTGTGGTCGTATCAGCAGCTGCTGCCTTGGAGCTTGTGACTGAAGAGACTTGTATCTTCAGTTAGACAAAGTTCAAGCAACCGGACTCTTGATTCAGACCTTCCTCTGGGAATTGAATTTTATGTGACAGGATATGTGGGAGGCATGGCCTCTGGCCTATGTGTGAGATCATGCAAACTTCCTATAAATATTCTATTTCCTTAAGGGGGAAAAAAAGAGAGTGGAATAGCCAAGTAGTGTGTAACAATACTTTGTACTAAAAAATAAAAAAATGCCAATGAATACTGAGTTTTTACAAAATTTCTTCATTATTTAGAAAATTAAAGCAATTTTGCTTTATTTTGCAAAATTTATCCTACACAGAATTCTTCTTCCAGCCTACTGAACAACATTTATTAGACATAACACATGTCCAACTTTCATTTCCATAGAATGCTCATTTCCATAGAATGCATATCTATGTTGCCATAAAAGCTGAAAGGGAACAACTATTACAGCTAAAATTATAATGATGTGGTGTTGGTGTTGACTCTTAGCAACCATATAGATAGATTTTCTTTAGGCTGATCTGTCCCCAACCTAGTTCTATGGTCTTCCAAAAGTGTACCCATTGGTGCTGTAATTGAATCCATCCACTTTGCTGCTAGTCATAATCTTTTTCTTTTTCCTTCCATTTTTCCCAGCATTATACAGTGGACTTATAAAGAGAGTTAGGTCTTCTCATGATGAGGCCAAAATATGATAATTTAGGCCTAGTCCTTTGTGCCTTGAGTGAGAACTTGATATGGATTTGTCGCATGATCCATTTCTAAATTTCTTAGTATCCGTGGCATTCTCAGGAATCTTATCTAGCACCAAAGTTCAAAAGTCTCAATACTCTTCCTCTCCTACTTCTTCAAAGTCCAACTTTCATTTCCATAGAATGTCACAGGCAAAACCATTCCCTGCATGATTCTGATACTTGTAGGCATAAATAAATCACAGCATCTTTTCCAAGGCCTTCACTGCTTCACTACCAAGTGCTAGTTTGTGGCATATTTCTTAACTGATGGTTCCTTTATTCTTGATAGTCAATTCTAATAGGTAGAAGCTATCCACCACTTCAGTATCTTCCTTGTCAGTTCTAAGGCTGGTTGATCTACTTGTCATTAGTTTGTTCTTCTGTATATTTAATCTTAATTTAGTCTTAATCTTCAGGCTCCTTGAGTTTCATTACTAGAGAATGAAACTCTAGCATTATTTGCATTTTCGGCTAATCCAAATGTCATCAGATAGCACAGATTATTGATGTTTCTTCTTCCAGTTTTAAAACTACCCTCATCTTTTGGTCCAGCTCTCCAAATCTTACAAAATCTTACTTTAATCATTTATTTCTCTACCATGCAACTTATTCAATGATTTGTGGCTCATCTGTACTCCCAAGTAACCCCAACACCAGTATGGGTCAACAAACTATTTTGAAGGACAAAAATGGACAACTGTATTCGTCACCTGGCCACTTTGAATGCCATCTCTGGATTTGTTTTCCTGTTCCACTTTCAAAGTAGTGCTTTCTGCTTCTTTTGGATCAAGCATTGGTGTCTGGTTGGTTTGCTACACTTTACTTTCTTTTAGGCCAACTCCTGCATTTGGTAGACTATTTTGCAGAAACAGAAGTGGCCCCTCACCATATTTTCCCTGCTTTTCCTTATTATCATCTAGTGTACCTTCTGTTGTAGTAGGTCTTCCTTAGTAGTATAATGGTGATAACACTTGCCATACATGTAAAATGATCCTGATTCAAAATCCAACAGAAATGTATGTTTGTGTGTTTATTACAATATACTTATTTTTCTGCTGGGACTCTTTGATTGTTTTTAATAAACCACTGCATTGTTTTATCATTTTTCCAATCTCTTGAGGGAATGGCAAAATGATGAAACAATGCACCCATTAGTATTGGGCAGAGACATTTTCCTGTGGGAGTTAAAAGCATTTAGGCTGCATTGACTACTTTTTCCTACTTAACTGTATTTGTGTGACTGGGTTTCCCCATTGCACTGTGCCATATTGTGGCTTGGTTTTGACTTAGCCTGTTGTAGGACTATAGCCAATGGTTTATTTATTAGTACAGGGTTGTGCAACATTTTGATAATAGGAGTCTCACTTCATATTGGAGAAGTGTGTCCAAAGGCTACAGAACATAGAACAATAGTGGAGCTTGACTGCGTACAAGGTTTCTCTCTTTGTGTTTATGTGTGTGTTGTTTTTCCAGGATGTGGTAGTTAGAATTCTCCCTCGCCCCTTTAAAAACTATTTTCTAGTCTAGTTTTTTTATAAAAACTAGAGTATTATGGCATCTTAAGGACAAATTTATTTTTATAGTTCATAGACTACTTCATTAGAGGCAGCCACAAAAGAAAAGGTCAGTTAAAGGATTAATCCTTAAAGTGCCACAAGTTTCTGCTGGTGTTTCTGCAAAAAACTAATATGGCAATCTGCATAGAAATACATAAATTTTTAATTTCCCATTTCAAAATGGTGAGAAACAATAGCAGAATTTTTTGGCCAGAGCTGATCCTAGGATATTTTAAAAAATGGGCCTGGTATCCACACAAACCCTCAGGCATCACTGTCCACCTTCTGGTTTAGCTTCTTGGGTGAACTCAGCTAATGTTAGTTTATTCAACAAATCATTGTTTAAAATATATGAACCATTATATTCTCTCTCACACACACACACACAGAGAGAGAGAGAGAGAGACTTCAGCTGGAAATAAAGGGAAATAGTGAAACTTTCATTCTCCATCTCCTGCAATCCCAGTCCATCCCACTCTCCCCTGTTGCTGCTTGTTACAGTTTTAAAAAACTGCATATTAACTGTACTCATAAAATGATTATCATATTCAATGTGAGCTTCTATTCCATACTCTTTCCAGCAGAAGAAACCCCCCTGTACTTTATTTATATATACATAATGCGTATTTCCATTTTATACCACCTACTTCAAATACTCTAGAGATTCCCTGATGCCCTGGAACAGACATCCTTTTTGACTGTCTGCCACCAAATGAATGAGTCATAGTTCCCCAAGCTGTGCTTTAGGCAAAGAAAAGCCAAAAACAGCTGTAACCTTTTAGGATGGTGGGATGAAAGATGCATCATGTTAAAATATACTACTTACCTTCATTCACATTGACCAATGGAGGCAGAACAGCTGCTCTTGTAGCATCCAACCATTGTTATTAGTTTTTATATTAACCATAAAACAGTATGACTGAGACTTTATAAAAATAATATATGTGGAATTCTGGTTTTTTGTTTTTTACTAGATTGTCATATTCTGTCATCTGGCTCAGTTGTCTCAACAGGAACTTGGCTAAAAATAAACTTTCCCACAATATCTTCTCCAGTGTCTTATAAGCAAAGTGCATTACAACTTGCAGTCTTTTCCTGCATTGTTCTTGAAGTATATTTATACGAAGCAATCTTTCTGTTTAATCCAGATAATACTGTTTAGTGCAATATAGAACCCTCTAAGAAAACCAAAGACCTGCTAGTGCAAACTCAGTGGAGTAGACTGGAGAAACAATCGGCTTGCTTGGTGTTAAAGGGAATGGAGGGAAATTAACTCTGTATGTGGAGAGAGTAAGAGAGATTACCTTGACGGAAATATGCAAGAACTGTTATCTAGGCAAAAGGGGCTGAAACATTCTTTAAATCCAGAGCAACAAGATAACATTTGGAAGCGACTGAGGCAGATGCCACCCTGGTTCACTGGGGTATAAGAAGGGGGAGGGGGTACAGTATGATCAGACTTGCAGGATTGATGTCAGCCCCAATAGGTAGACCACACCAAGAAATCAACTCCACAGGAAGGCAAAAACAATTTTCATTGAGATTGGCTATAATAACAGAATCTTGCAAGCCTGACTGTGTTGTATCCTTTGCCTAGATAATGGTTCTTACGTATTTCTGTTAAGGTCATCTTCCTTACTCTTTAAAGTATGTTCTAGAGACCTCACATGTCTCCCTTCATGCTTCAGGGACCCCCATTTCCTTCCCTTGGTGCCGGGGCCTGCGTTATTTATAAAGAAAATGTGTCTCTCCACCATTTCAGGGGGATATTCAAAACAGAGATTAGTCTTAATAGCCCACCTTCAAAGTGATAAAACATGCGGCAACATAATTAATTCAAATCCTTTTATTCCCGTCAGCATTTTGTCAATTCATGATGGTACTATTGCATTACTCATGACCACTGGTTATATTATTTTAAGGTTATGAACTGAACATTTTAATATTGTAATTAATCTATTATTAATGTTGGAGGTACTTTGTGTGACAGACATTATAAAAAATATTTTAAGCAACAATTTTCAGACATTAATTCCATGTTCACACCTACATGTAATGTTTTTTAATTAAAACAGAAATTTCAAATGTATTATAGCACTAGGATTATTCTGTCATTCATAGTCTTTTTGTCTTTCTTTTTCATATGCACAGACATTGACACATAATAGTCACACTTGTAGAATCATTAGTCCCAGTGTGCAGGACAGCTTCATAACTTTTGTGTATGTGTGTGTGTGTGTGTACACTTGGGACCTCCTCCAGACTTTACACCCCCATCTTCATTTTATTGCTCAGTGTAGGCAAAAATAAAACATTTTGTTTACTAAGAGGATGTGTGATAATGAATTGCATTCAGTTTTTGCTGACATTATCTATAATTGCAGTTTTATTTGATTGTAAACATTGACATTTTTATGCACTTTAAAATTATTTTTTCATTTAGATTTTCTTCGAAATAGCTTTCCAGTTCAATGTGTCCCATCTTCTGGAAAATACTATAATTCACTTTTCTGTTACAAGGTTGGTTCCAATAATGTCTATACAACTTTTGAAAATCAGGATCCACTCTCTTCACTGTGGGTTCACCCAGTGAGTTTATGGAGGGTTTCCACTGAATTTAGGAAAATTAGGAAAAGGAAAAAAAATTAGGACAAAAGGAAAATTAGTCTATAATTTATTAGAATAAGAGGCTAATGGTGATATATAAAAAGAGTGAAATCAAATAAGCCATAAATTTCATTTAATGGTTAAAATGGATTAAAAGAATTAAAATATAATTTTATTAAAAACGTAATAAAATAATTCATGAAGCAATGGTAATGTAATTGATTAAAAGGATTAATAAAGGGTAAATATGAAACTAATCAAAGCTTAACCAATGGCAAATATTATATTAATTCAAATCAGAAAAAGTGAATTGAGTTCCAACCCTTGCAAGTCCCATTCATAAGCATAATTTAAGCATCCAAACTATTTAATCCTAAAACAGATTCATTATCTACCACTCTAGCAGAAGGTTCAATGTTCTTACGGGGTTTTCAGCTTTGGGTAGTGTTAAGAAAAATTAATAAAGGAAAGAAGCTATAAAGGGGAAAAAAAGGGTGTATCACCGAGACCTGGCTGGCACCAGAGGGGGGAGTAGCCCTCTCGGGATTGTGTCCA